GTCTCCTGTTCCCGACCATCCGGTGTTCCTGTTCCCTGCTCAGCCTCCTGTTCCAGCATTCCTGTTCCCCGCCCGGCTCTCTGCCTCGGACCTTGCCCCTCTTCGTGTGGACTCTGCTACACCCAAGGTACCTTACCCCCGGGACCAGCACACCACCTCTTAGAAGTGGCACGTTGTGAGGATGGGCACTGGAAGAAGAAACAAAAGAGGTGGCTGGAGGCAGCACGTAGAGCTGCCACCCACCATGAGAGAGAGAGAGGGAAGAAAGATCAGGCTACAGCCTTGATGCCCCTCCGGGTAGTTTATGACCCCCCGGGACCGCCAGGGGAGAATGGGGCAGCAGCACCACGCACCTACACAATTCAACATGTGCCTTTTTCAACTGCTGATATTTGCAATTGGCGCAATCAGAACCCTTCCTTTGAGGAGAACCCAGCCAAAATCATCAAACTTTTTGAAGGGATCTTTAAAACTTATGACCCTACCTATGATGATGTTCAATATCTTTTGGACTCTCTGTTAACAACGGAAGAAGTCCGGAGGGTCCATAGTGAGGCAAGGGCGCATCTGAGGCAGTTACAATTAAATGATAACCAAATAAATGATGCCTACCCCCGAGCCACTCCTAATTGGGACTATCAGGATCAGAATGCTCGGACTGCCCTGGCAACATACAGGAACCATGTACTGGCGGGAATGAGGAGGGCAGCTAGGAAGCCTACTAATTTGGCTAAGGTGGCTGAGGTGGTCCAGAAATCAGATGAGTCGCCAGGGGTTTATTTGGAGCGCCTGAAGGAAGCCTACCGGCAGTTTACCCCTCTGGACCCGGACGATCCTGCCAATGCTCCGGTTGTTAAGGCAGCCTTTGTGGCCCAAGCCACTCCCGATATTCGCCGAAAAATTCAAAAAACCGAAGGGTTTCTAGGCCATGGGCTGGAGTGGATGTTAGAGGTGGCACAAACCACGTATAACCAGAGAGATGAGGTAGCCCAGAAGAAGAAAGAAAATTACCAGGCTAAGAAACTCATGGCTCTGCGCGCCAGCAACAGCGGCACGGGGGAACCTGCCCGGGGAGGAGGGCGCGGCCGCCTGGGGACGCAACCAGTGCGCCATCTGCCGCCAAGAGGGCCACTGGAAGAACGAATGCCCTCAGGGAAGAACCGGAGGCAGGGGAGGCCGGATTCCTGGCACCATCCCCATGGGAGATGGCACTGACTTAAGACCCTGGGGTGCGCCTGGGGGACCCTCCAGGGGACGAGGAAGGGGAAGAGGAGGCCTTTGGTACCCGCCTGGGAACCGAGGACAGGCTGAAGCCATGAGCCTGCAGCAACACCAGGATGAATATTAGGACAGACCGGGCCCAACTAATTTAGGTTCCCGTGAGCCCATGGTCAAAATGCAAGCAGGGAACCACATGATTCCTTTTATGGTGGACACGGGTGCCGCTTACTCGGTCGTCCCAACCCCCGTTGCGAAACTAACTACAGAATCCATTAATATAGTGGGAGCCACTGGAAAGTCCCAGCAGGCACCATTTCTACAGCCGGTCACCTGCAAATTAGGAGGCCAAGTGGTGCAGCATAATTTTCTGTATGTCCCTGAATGCCCTATTCCATTGCTGGGAAGAGACTTGTTGTCCAAATTACAAGCCCAGATCACTTTTAAACCATCCGGAGAGGCCACCATGTCCACAATGCCACCCGGAGAATTGGTTGTGGAAGCACCCCTGAGGGAGTATTGGCGCCTCATGATGATAAAAGAAGAGGAGGGGCCCATTCCAACCAGCCTCCTAGAACAAGTAAATCCTGAAGTATGGGCTGAAGGCAACCCTCCTGGCATGGCTAAAAATATACCCCCAATAATTGTAAGGACGAAGCCCTTCGTGAATCCGGTGGCTGTGAACCAGTACCCCATCCCTCGAGCGGCGGCAGAAGGAGTGTGGACTCACCTGCATAGGCTCCTACAACATGGCATCTTGAAGCCCTGTCAATCCCAGTGGAACACTCCCTTGCTTCCAGTACAGAAAGAGGGAGGTGGTTACCGTCCTGTCCAAGATCTGAGGCTGGTAAATTCAGCTGTGGAAACCCTCCACCCCAACGTCCCCAATCCTTACACTCTGCTGAGTTTGATCCCCCCTGATGCGAAATACTTCTCCGTGCTCGACTTGAAAGACGCGTTCTTTTGCTGCCGCCTAGCGGAGGGGAGCCAGCACTTATTCGCTTTCCAATGGACGGACCCAGTCACAGGCACTAAAACTCAATACACTTGGACGCGCCTCCCGCAGGGCTTCAAGAATTCACCAACTCTTTTTGGGGTAGCTCTAGCATCGGACCTTGCCAGTTTCCCCACTACTCCCAGTAAGATTGTGTTGCAGTATTTTGACGATCTCTTAGTGGCCTGCGTGGACGAAAGCGCGTGCCACGAAGCCACGCGGGACCTCTTAAACCACCTGGCTGAAGCAGGCTACCGAGTCTCCAAGTCTAAGGCTCAAATTTGTAAGACAACTGTCAAGTATCTTGGCTTTGACATCTCTCACCAGCGACGGACCCTAAGGGATGAACGCAAGCAGGCAATCACTCGGATCCCAGAGCCACGAAACCGGAAGGAGCTCCGCGGTTTCTTGGGATCTGCGGGTTTTTGCAGAATTTGGATTCCCAACTACAGTGAAATTGCACGGCCGCTGCATGAGTCTACTAGAGGAACAGAGAAGGATCCCTTTATCTGGGGCCCTGAGCAGCAACAAGCCTTCCAAGGCCTCAAGACGGCCCTACAACAGGCCCCAGCACTGGGAATCCCAAACCCAGAGAAGCCATTTACCCTCTATGTGGATGAGGACCAAGGAACAGCGAAAGGGGTCCTTTGCCAGAAACTAGGAAGTTGGCAACAGCCTATAGCCTATTTGTCTGAAAGGCTGACCACCACGGAGCAAGGCCTGCCCCCCTGCATGCGGGCAGTAGTAGCAGTGGCCTGCTTGCTTAATAAGGCTGACAAGTTTGCCTTTGGACAAGACATCACATGTGTCACCCCACACGCAGTACCCGCCCTACTGGATATGAAGGGCACTTACTTCCTATCCCAAGCTAAGATGATGAAGTGCCAGACTTTGCTGATGCACCCACGCTTGAGGTTCCGTGTCACAGAGGCCCTCAACCCAGCTACTCTGTTACCTGTAGGAGAGGAAGAGGAGCCAGCCCACGATTGCATACAGGTCATGGACGAAGTCTACTCCAGTAGACCAGACCTTAAGGATGAAGCCAATCCAGCGTGGCCTTCCTGGTTTGTGGATGGCAGCAGCTTCGTGGAAGAGGGACAACGGAGAGCAGGATATGCCATCGTGGCCCTCGAGGATGTAGTCATTGAAGCCTGCCCCCTCCCACCAGGAACATCAGCTCAACTGGCAGAAATTACTGCTTTGACACGAGCCCTGCGCCTGGCTGAAGGTACAGATATTAACATCTATACGGACTCTAAGTATGCTTTCCTTACCCTGCACGCTCATGGCGCCCTCTGGAGAGAACGAGGACTGCTGACCTCGAAAGGGAGCCCTGTGGCCCACCCACAAGCACTCTTGGATCTCTTGGATGCAGTGTGGGCACCCCGCCAAGTGGCCGTTGTGCACTGCTACGGCCACCGGACAGGATCCAGTGATGACGCCCGAGGAAATCGTTTGGCAGATCGAATAGCCAAAGAGGCGGCGCGACGGCCAAACCCGGCCCCCCTCGTTGCTGCCTTGATACCTGAGCAAGTCTTGGACACCAGCCTCAAGCCCCACTATACCACCCAGGAGGAAATGACAGCCAACACTGAGGGACTGGACATTTCGAAGGATGGCTGGTACCTTACCCCAGATGACCGCGTGTGGGTCCCAGAATCCCTAGCCCGCCAAGTGGTTCAGCGCTACCACGATTCCTTACATGTAGGACCAGATGCCATGACCAAGCAGCTGGGAAAGTGTTTTACATCTCCAAGCTCTATCAACTGGCTTCACAAGTCTCTAAGCGTTGTGCCCTATGCCAGAAGAACAACCCTAGGGCCGGCCTTCTGCCTCCTCCAGGAATTCAACATTGTGGCACAGCACCCATGGAAGATTTGGTTGTGGACTTTACCGAGCTGCCCCGTTGTGGCCTATATCGTTACCTCCTTGTGGCTGTGTGCACTTATACAGGGTGGGTGGAGGCCTGGCCCACCAAGACTGAGCGGTCATCTGAAGGTGCTAGGTGTCTGCTCCGGAAATCATTCCCCGCTATGGCTTGCCTCGCTCCATAGGGTCGGACAATGGTCCAGCTTTTGTGCACAAAGTTTTGCAGGAGATAGCTAAGCTCTTGCAGATAAATTGGAAGTTACATAGTGCATACCGACCCCAGAGTTCTGGAAAAGTAGAGAGGATGAACAGGACTTTGAAAAATCAACTGTCCAAATTGACACAGGAGACAGGGTCCAATTGGGTAGCGATGTTGCCCCTCGCCCTGCTCCGGGTTCGAAGTCTCCCATCCAAGCGAACCCATCTCTCTCCCTTTGAACTGATGTTTGGGAGACCTGTTCCCTATGTACGCATGATTTCCCCCACCCCGGTCCAGGATGTTGAAACAGATCATTATGTGCAGTCACTCTCCCGCACTCTTCTTTCTCTCAACAGGTGGACCCAGGCTCGTACCCCGTGTGTACTGGTCGAGCCCCTACACCGTTTCGAGCCAGGCCATGATGTGTGGGTAAAAGACTGGGCCCAAACTCCGCTACAGCCTTGCTGGAAGGGTCCCTACACTGTGCTTCTCTCTACACCCACTGCTGTCAAGGTTGCTGGCATCGCCCCTTGGGTCCACCATACTCGTGTGAAGGCGGCATCATCAGACTGGACTGTGTCTCCTAACCCGCAAGATCCTCTTCGGCTGACCATTTCCAGGCGCCCGACGGACGACTGCCCTGCTGCTGTCACTCCGGGAAGCTGATAGCTCTACGCACGGCCGAAGAAAAGGATGGGAGGGGTACCCAACGCTAGTACCCCCAACGTTCCTGATAGCCAAGCCCTTCCCCACGCCCCTATCATGCCTGATATGTGGTGGGAGGAGCCCTGGACTCCCGGGGCTTGGTGGGCTTGGGTTCTGTGTATGCCCCTGATTTTCTTGATGCTTTTGTATTTCTGCTGGCATGAACGCCCCAGGGATGGATGGGGAGGATATTCACTATGGTTGCGGGCCCCCTGGTGCTTTTAGTGCTTCTCTGCTTCTGTATTCCCTGCTTGATGCAATGCATGCAGAATATGATGGAGAAAATGATGTCTCGCATGATGGGCCCCCGTGTGATAGCTTACCTGAGGGAGTATCGCCCTGTCCCTGTTGATGCACCTGACGGTGATCAAGAAGAAGAGGAGGGAGTGAAGGGAGAGGAGTGAAGAGATGGGGGAAGGAAAAAACTCCATCGTGCTTTAGCTAGCTTCAGCTAACAATTGTCTTAGCAATGCAAGACAATTCTGCGGGTAGACAGTGGGTTTCCTGTCTGCCGTCATACTTAGCTGAAGCAAAAGAAACTTAGCTCGACAGGCCGGTAGTGGTTTCTTATCTGCTTCAGTTGTGGTGAGCTAGCTTCTCACCTCAGCTGTGCAAAATGCAAACATTTTTTTATGCAAAGCAAACAATATGCAATGGTGGGGAGGAGGGCTTAGCTAGCCCAATAAGGTAATAAAGTGTATCTTTGCCTGTTGATTGGGGAGCAACTGGGGGCCAAGCTTGCAGCTACAGTATAAGAATGCTTGGAAGACAATAGGGGGGGGCCAGTCTTTGGAAGCTATTCCACTGGCTACCTCTGCGCAGATTTGCAATAAACCTTTTTCTCTGTGGAACCCACCCTGGTGTATATTTGTCTCCTTCATGCTAACAGCAGGGGCAGGTGACTGGATCCGGACCCCTTAGGATCAGATATCCTAACAAATCTGCTAATGGTATTTTGTTTGTAAGTTATTTCTGTAATGAAGTCAAATTCTGTAACTTCATGTTTCTTTCTCTCTAGGAATGGCAAAAATGTATTTTCTTGTTGGTCCTGCCTTCTACCTGGTGGAGTTAACTTTTTTCTGTTTGCTGCATTCTCTACTGATCAGAAGAACACTTCACAGTGAGTCCAACTTTCCATTCTTACTCTGTTTTGTGCCTAAGTGCAAAAGTTATAAACATGCCCCACCAAGTGTGAAGAATGTGCGTGTGTTGAATTAGTTGTCTGTCTCT